GTGAACTATATCATCTTTTATTGTAATCTTTGTCTGATGTCAAGCTGCCATCCTTGGCTAATACAATTCGGCTGAAGAGCTCAATTGGAAAATTCATGACATTTTTCAAAATTAATTGATTTCAATTTTTGAATTGAATTAGTTCAATAGTTGATTCTTAATCAAGGTTGTCATCAATTATTCCACACCCACGAACCCGTAGAACGCAATAATATTTACACAGCATTGCCATTAATGGCTGAGTAGCTAATACTGCTGAATTCTGCGAATTTGACACAAGTTCGATCCTAGGCGAACAGGCTGGCTTCATGGTTGTTTCAAGTAGTTTTTCCCAAGTGTTAAATGACCACTAGATAGTTACTTTTGGCAAATCCTCCACGAAAGCCCCTTCGCGCTAGGCACCACTGGGTGATTTGCCACCTTCAGATAACCTAACGTGTGTAACATCACCCCTTTTCAAAGATTTTTTCGACCATTTGATCTCATTTTATAATTATCCCTTTCACTAATTAGAGGGCAAATTTCAGATTCTATAAGCAGCTTTCTAAACTGCATATTTGATTTACTTTATTGGATGCGAATGGTTTTTATTTTAATTATTTTATCCGTAATTTTGAAGTTATTTCAAAAATACGAAAATTAAATCCATGACAAGAAGTCATTTCTTGCTTATATTCATTTAATGAAAGATTTGTCTCAAAAATCTAAGATAACCGAAAGGGTAATTAATACATCTTAATTCTTATATCATGTTCTTACAATTTGATACTAATGAAGAAAATCTTCAGATAAAAGATTTATTACTAGTCACAAAATTTCAAATTAGTTAAGAGAGTATATGTAGCTATGTACGTATTTCTTACTATCTTCTAAAACTATAAACTCTTTCTTAATGACTGAAAATGTTAAAGGAAATAAACAGATATAAAGATGCATAGTTAAAATGTTTAAAGATAAAGGACTATGCATGTTTAAAGGTAAAGGAATATGCATGAGATAAAACGTACATAGTTCTAGTTAAATGTGTATTCCGGGAAATACTTTTTAAGCATCCTCTGGAAAAATGATGTAATGATTCCAATGTGAGCTTTATAACCATGAAATGAGAAACGCTGTGAAAAGTATTAATACATATCATTAAAATCGAGTTTCATCGCACGGTAAATAAAATAAATAATTTCATAAATATTCCATTTGTAAAAGTAGAATTTTAACTTCTAACAAATGAACATTTCTTTATTTTGTTTATTTCTTACCACAATGTCATTCGCTCTGGTTTGTAAAGAACTTCTCCAAAGAATGAGTAAGGAAGCTGAATTGAAGAGAGATTGCAAAGATGAAAAATGGGGGTAAAAAAAGAAGAGACACCTGTCAGGACTTCTGATGACACATAGAATGAGTTTAAACGAAAATAGAACTACTATTTGACAACAGCATTGCTGCTAGTGAAAGATAGGCTCAAATGGCAGTTACGGAAGAAAATCGCGAAAATGGTGTAAGTTGTCACTTCTGCTCATTGTGCTACAATTTCATTCATAAAACTGATTTTAAAAATGCAGGTTTTAAGTTTTAAGTTCTGATATAAAATTGTATGGCAGTAATAAAAACAGAAAAGTCGGAAAATTTTAAATATCATTTTTACGTAATTATATTTCCTACGCTATTAAAAGCTTGGATATAGATAATCATTATCATACTCTTAAAAAAATCTGATGTGTAATGCCACATTACTTCCTTGTACGGAATATTAATTTATGCGCATTTTTTGCTGGATCTCATTTAAATTTATTTTCTCGAATTTCATTAGAGATATATTTCTCATTCGATTAATTCAGTTCTCACTTCGCGACTAGACAAAAATACATAAAACCTCAAAATATTTTTATAAAAAATTGAAACATATAAAAAAATATAAAAAGAAAAAAATCTGAAAATTTTCAGATTTTATAATTACGCCCAAAGGGGCTTTTTTTAACGTTTTATGTGTTACCTTTATTAATAAATATCATGTTCTTCGCATTTAAACCATAAAATTCAATTCGACAGAAATATCACACCAAGGAATAAACATGGTTCTCGCATGAAGACCAAGTTGTCCAAGTTTTTCTTATTTTTATTCACAAACACATCTCATACATAAACATATTACACTGAAGTTTAATCCAATCAGGTAACCCGAAAAAAGAATAAACTTACTTTGTAAACAATTATTCACCATGGACAAGAGCAACTTCGATTCAAAAAAATTTATTTAGTGCTAAAACTCTTAATCAGTGCAGATCATCTAGAGGTATACAGAGTCTCTGTATACCTCTAGACATATGATGGCCGAATCTTAGTTTCTCGCAGCGGAGAACGACTTCTGGAAAGCTTCTGTTGAAAAGCGTCATAAAAAGTGTCAAATTAAGCATTCTAGTTTGGAGTTGTTTCACATTTCATTGAAGCTTTCTCTTTCTACGAACTGGAGGTATTATGTGAACAGGTCAGTAAAATCTTGGAACCAGAAATCCTGCCATCCAGAATTTTCTTAAAACTATCTCTTAATAGTGTATTGATACCGTCCATATACTCGCCGTGTTCAATGTTTCCTCCATGACTGCATGTTCAGGCCTAAGTGCTCGACAGGTTTGTATCCCATACAGCACATGTGAATTATGATTATTTAAATGTTGAACTATATATCAAGTACTGTTGACGCAGTATGGATCTGTATCAAATTTACATGAAACAATATTCCACGGACAGATAGAATGAATCTTTATCGATATAGACCTTGTACACTCCGTTATAACCGCTAAAGATGACTTATTTTAGTGGAGTTAAGATGGTAAATTGAGCATAGTTTAACGAAAGGAATATGCTGAATCTGTAGGTGAAAACGAATCTGCTAATTTCACTCACAAAGTATTAAATGTATTCCCTTCCTTTTAACTTACAGATTTATCATTTCTACCCGATGTTATATGTCATCGTTTCCATAAATATCTTCGTTCTATCTCATGTCGTAATTGGTGTTGCAATTTCACTGAACAACAATGTAATTTTAATATGTTAATAAGGTCGGGAATTTAAAAAAAGGCTCTGTGACGTCAAGCGAACTCTAAAATTTCGGTTAATGAAAACTAGTGTCCCAGTGCCAAGATTAATAGACTGAATTAAAACTGGTTTCCTTTCCTTTGCCCCCTAAAGTTAAAACTTAAAGAATGGCAAAACCTTGGAGTCTGTTTCTCCCAAGCTGTAACATTCCTACGCATAGACGGTTTAAATGGCTGGTGAATATGGCGACACTTATCGACACCGAGCTCTGAAGAGGGTCACACAGTTATCTGGAATGTAAGCTTTTTCTAATTAAAGAAAGATAATCAGTCTAAATTTCTTATTGCAGTTACCTAAATAAAAATAATACGAGCTTTGTGTTATGCATTTTGGAACACGAAAAATTAAAATTAGAGTTAACCATGAAGTGATCCTCCCTTTTATCTATTAACTAAGTGCGAAGGAACCTAGTGAACTACTAAACGAATAAACACTTAGGTTCAGAAATAGAAACGTAAAACTCAAGAAGGGTTAATTACCCTTTATTGTTCAAACTAAAGGTGTACAGACGGTCCTTTTCTCAGGACGTATAACAAAGCCTCCACTTGGTCTTAAACTAAAAAATATAAGAAATAAGAACTTAACTAATGACTAACTAATGAGATTTATCCGAAGCTACGAGGGCAATCCCCAAAAAAAAAGGTCTCCTATATTTTTAGATATACAAAGAACCGTTTATTTTCTATAATTGCTACATCACTTTAAAGATTGATGAATGCTTTATTTTTCAACATAATCGCCATTTCGGTCGATGTATTTTTGTAGACGCTGTGGCAGTTTTACAATGCCCATGTCATACCAGCTTGCCGCCATGCCCTTCAGGAAACGTTGAACCTCATCTTTCATCTCATCATTGGAGCAGAACCGTCGTCCAGACAAATGTCAACCCGTTGCCGTTTGTGGTCTTCTGTCAGCATATGCGGCACCCATCTTGCACACGCCTTCCGATATTGCAACTTTTCCGTTAAAATCCTGTGGATGGTGCTTCTGGAAACCTCAGTAACCAAAATGCAGAGAGCATCCAGAGTGATCCTCCGATCTTTACGCATGAGTACCTCAACTTTCGTGATTGTCTCGTCGGCAATTGACGGCCTCCCGCACCTTTCTTCGTCATGAATTTGAGTATGACCGCCTATAAACTCTCTACACCACTTGCGAATGTTTTTGAGATCCATGCACGACTTTGCACTTGGCGGTAACGTTTATCGGGAACTCCATTTCGAATGGCTGCCAAGCCAAGACTGAGCATCCTAGCGAAGCGCCTGCGTACTTATGTGGTAGCGGAGAAGGCACCACTCACAACAGTGTTGCCAACAACCGTATTAAAACTTTCTCTACGTCCCCAAAAAATAGGAGACCTTTTTTGGGGGGGGATTGCCCTCGTAACACAGTGTCTAACTAATTAGCCCCTAATGTTAAATTAGCTAGCGAAGCTACCAAGGGCAGATAATACGGCCGAGCGTAGCTTGCAGAAATGTATTCAAAAGGCAAACACGCGCTATTCAGGAAATTGAATTTTCTCTGTCAAATTCGGGGGAACTTCGACTCAAATACTAGTCCTTCTCATTTGCGTTTAACGCGATTCTAAAACCTCATTCTGGTAAGGAATTAAAAGCTGAAATTAAGAGAGACAGGAAAGTGGGACAAACTTAAAAATAACTGTTATAAGCTTAGGATAAACCTTACATCTTTTTCCACCAAAATTTAAATACTTGAAGAAAAAAAGTCTCACAACGACCTTGTTTAAAAGTTAAAATTCTAGAAAACTTCCTCACACTTCACATTTTAATTTCTAATACTCTGCTTCCACTCCTCAGTTCAATTTAAAGTAACAAATAAAAAAAGATGTGAATTTTTAAATTTTGTCACATTCTTTTATCTACTTATTTGTTTTCTCTTTTTAGAAACCACACACTGAAACTTCCCGAAAGTGACCACTTGTGGTTCCAAGCAGTGTTGCGCTCCTATAAAGGTGATCGACTTAGAGAAAATAACTATCATCCATGGACTTAATCTGTTCGCTTTCCAAGAAATACCAGTCATTTTGAGATATTCTGGTAGTGTAGAATCATTAGAATTTTTCTATGCTGGAACGTGAAAAATGGCTAATGCCCTCATTGGGACTCGAACCCTGGACCTCTAGAATACGCGTCGAGTATGCTTCCAGTTACATCATGAAGACATGCGAAAAGAGGGAGAAACTCACACAGTGAAGCAACTCACATCTGTCATGCAGAGCTGCCGTCTGGTTTCAACATTTTAAATAGAGTTTGCTCTTTGGAGTATTTGGATCCGGTGCTTCAATGTAGGTTGAATGTGCGTTGTATATGGCTTTCATTTCGGTGAAAATGGTCTCTGCGTTTGTTAAATTGGTAAGTATAAGCATTTACAATGATTTCTGAATATCTTAAGTGAGTGAGATGGCATTTCAGTTTAATTGCAATTTAAAAAACTACCATATTATGGATATTAATTACTTTTTCAAAATTACCATATTCTGCAAGAAAAAAAAAATGTATTTCTCAGTTCTCAAACTTATACGTTCCTTTAATTTAGCTTTGTTAATAAGACTCGAAACTTCTCTTAAGTGTTGATATTTTATTTTGGATAAAATCCAATCCGGAAGAAAAAGAAATAAAAAAATAAATAAAACTGCTTTCTAGCTATGCGTTGTACTATCTTTCACATACATTTTATATTACAACAGTGTCAAAATGACTCATACAAAAACAATATTTGCTTCTTAGTAAAATTTTGCCACAAATTTATTAGCAGTTTATACCAATAGATAGTTAAATAATGCTTCGAAAGAAATATATTATTACATGAACTATAAATTTCTCTTCTGAATCTGTTCTCTTTCTCTTCCGATTATCACTTGCATCAAAAATAAAACGAAAGACAAGATAAATTTCTATAACAGCTGGTCCTGTCTGTATCAATGTTTTCCAACTAAATTTATTCTAGGGCCGTTTTATGTTTTGGGCAATATACTGGAACTCTTTAAGTGCTTTAAATATAACATATAGAAGAAAATTTATTTTAGTGGAGAATTTTTTGTGATTTTGAGTCAAAATGCATATAAGTTGTTTAAATGCATTTTATTGCAATCATTGTATTAGTTGATGCATTATTGTATTAAACTCTTTTTAAAGTTTAATAATTCCAGAGAAAACTCAATGCCATTTTATCCTTTTTCATGCCCCATATATTATATATAAATGCAATCAACTTGCGTATGAAACTAAATAACCTAATTTTGATCTTATTAAATCATAATGTTGATGATAAATCCTTTATTTTTGTAGTATTAAGAAGTACAAACAATAACATACATTTTATAACAAGCTCAAGCCCCCTTCCCCTATATTGTCTCATCTGATACAACTCTAATCAATCATTTTTGTAGATGGTTTCATAGCACTTTTGAGAAGACAAAACCTCTTTAACCTCTGGAATAGTTAAACAATTATTTGTAAATAATCACAAGTTCTCGCATTTCTTTATTTTTGTTTTGCATTTTAACAATCAGAACTTGGTTTTTATTAAATGACAAAAGAAAGTGCATGAAAATTATTTCCATTATCTTCCTGTTAGTGTGCATTTTAATGAAATCACTTGTTAAGAATTCATAATTTTAGCAAAACCTACTTATTTCATATATTAAGCATATAAACGAGTTTAATATGTATACCTCATTATACTTTTATTTATTTTGTACGAGTAACATAGGTATGAGTTAACACTTATAATTCTAAGAATACTAATTTGGACATTTTGATAGACGTTTAATAATGTAAGAAATATAGGTGTTTATAAATACCTATTGTAGAATATGAAATATTAGATTGTAATTTGTTCCTCTGCAAATGAAAAATACATTGTTCTTTACATATGTATGCATTTGCGAAAGCTATTTTTTATCATATAAATTTATTATATTGAATATGTACTGATATAAACATGCAAACCACAATTGCGTTAATCTGTATTTTCTCCTATTCGTAGTCTAATGGCATAATGGCTTTTTACGTAAAAAGCTTTCAAAACGATATTGCCATTTTTATGAAGGTTTCAAAGCGTATACAAAGGCCTTTCCAATAATGCTTCGGTGTACAGTGCTAGCACTTCAAAATTCAGTTTTTTGTTTTAGTCCAGCGGACTTCATAAAAGCATTGTCATCCTCATGATGCTCGATTTTGTTTTATGAAGTATGGTTTCAAATTAAATTCTGATTAATTTATTAAACAAGAGATAAATTTAAATCGCAATACCTTGTTTCAAATTCCCATCGCTTCCATAATGCGATAATACCGCTATTAGGCTACTGATGTTATATACACTGTAACTATGTACATTCTGATCTAGTCGTTTACCATTACTATTAAAATAAAAGCAACATGTTAATATTATTATTTCAACCATTCAAATTCCATTCTATTGTTTTGAAGCAACAAAATCTGTTATTGGTTTTTCAAATATTATGTCAATAACCGATTTTGAGTGAATATATCCAAATTTGTCTGAACTTATAAGACGAATAATTAACATTAAATTCGAAGTTTCTTTATGCAAATATATATTCTGCCTTTCCTTAATTTTACATATATTTTAAATACGTAGTTTTTGTTAAAAACCTTCAATTTTTAACAGAATCGATTCTGGTCTATTCCAACAGACAGAACGAGGAAAAAATTACTGAAAAGAAGATTTGCAAACATTTTTATCAGCTGCAAAGTTGTAAAGTCAGTTAGGGCTAGCATTAAGAGGTAATGATAAAATCAGACTTCAAATCACAAAAGAAACTATTTTACATACGTGGAATAGCTTAAAGAGTTTTTTGCAATTGCATATATGAATGCATTAATCGAGGATGAGGAAATTTAAGTTATTTGTCACATTTGCGAGGAATTCACCCGCATCATTAACAAGTATTTAATCACAATTATAGCATAAGAACTTAAATCAGCAACTTACTACAGCCTTATACTCGACTCTACACCTTCGCACAATGATCAATTGACATTGGTTATAAGTTACGTGTATTAAGAGGTGATAATGTTGTGTAGCAAATTCACTTAATTAATTTAATTACAACTTATTAAAAATTTAATTTATTAATATTCTATATTTAGGCTACACAATATGTAATCAAAATCGTAAAAACAACCTTGTATTTAGCGTAAGTATATTGAAACACTCAATCGATTTCGAGGGCAGCTAAAGGTCCCTCCCCATCAGGAGAAAGAAATATCTAGAAAGAAGAAAAATAAAGGGGAAGGAGTCTCAGAAACACGTGGTCCTTATCAGCACTGCACGTGGTTATAACCGGATGTTTTTTAATCAGAGTTACACTGGCCGCCTACTTTTACTGAGCCAGGCTATCTGATCAAACATGTAACACAAAGACAAGAAAATTAGCGAAGTTAAAAATAGGGAGAGAGGGGCAACTGCACCTTCACGCTCAAAATCTGAACTTCGAATAATGGAAAGCCTGAACGGATTTTTATACCCTCTGGTAGTACCAAACGCGAGGAGGTAACGCCATCTATCGGCAAAAATAGTAACTGAATTAAGATAGCAGAATTTTAAAGGCATTAGGAAGGACTAGATTGGACTTAAAATCATTAACTAAACATGCTAAATCTTTGTGAATATGAAAAGCGTCAAGAAAATCCAATTCACCTATGGAAGAAGCCTTTTGGATAAATAGGCTTCTTCCATAGGTGAATTGGATCCTTCCCCTTTATTTTTCTTCTTTCTAGATATTTCTTTCTCCTGATGAGGAGGGACCTTTAGCTGTCCTCGAAATCGATTGAGTGTTTCAATATGTAGAATCGGTACTTACTGTCTAGGAATATGATGTTCGTAAACTTACTTCCGATGTGGCTGTCTAGGGGCTAATAAACTAGTCCAATTTACAAATAACTTGAATATTTAATGAAACATGAATAGTTGCTACAAACTACAAAGTAATTACATACATAAAAGGAAATAGATGAGATTATTTATAAACGAAGAGAAGGAATCGTATTTCATAAGCAAACATCTTTGAATCGCGTCATCGTCTTAATGCCGGAATCGCCTGCCTGCCTGCGTCATCGGCCAAGTGAAAGATTTCCTCTCACAGCTTGTCGCGTCATCCGATTATAAATGAACGATGCCAACCCACAAATATAATTACACTAAATACAAGGTTGTTTTTACGATTTTGATTGTCACATTAGCGTGTTTCTCTTCTAGTCTACACAATATGTATTTTATTTAATATTTGTACTGATTTAGTTTAATTTTAATTGGGATTTTTGTAAGAAAGATTTGGTAAGTTCTTTTTACTCGTTACTTGTAAGCGCGCTGAAACACACACTGGAATCGGGTGAATTTCTGCGTAATAAACTTGATTTTATAGTACTTAAGTTTAACCATTATTAATTTATACCACTAGAAGCAGAAAAATTAGCTCTTTAATTTAAGATCACTTTCAAGATTTTAGCCTTAACAGATTTTGAGATATAGTAATTTATTTGACTGAAATTTCCATTTTTCATTGTGAGGAAAATATGGGGGAGCAAGCAATAGAAAGACAGTTTTAACAAGATTCTAGTCCCCTTGCATATGCATCCAGTGGGGTTAGTTTATGTTTGCCAGCTCGACCTTCCCAGGTGTTCCAGACTTGGCTAGAATTTGGCGAGGTTTAAACTTGAGTTTAGTTCAAGGTTGCGGAAAAAGGAAACATTTTTACATAGCATGAGGCGGTGGTTGTAAAACCTGGTTTTTTCACTATTTCGGGCGTTTGTTTGCCAATGTGGCAGTCTCGTCATATCTATAAGGAGCTGCAAGTCGGGATTGCGATCTTTGTAAATATATTTTTTATTTTTGTATATAGTCTTTCTAATCGTAAGAAAAATGCACTTTGATGTGTTTATGGACTGAATATTTGTAAAAATGCACACTGTTCCTGAAACCTGGACCAGCATCTCTCCAGCCTACCAGACGTCGCTATAGCCTCACGTGACAAAGTAGTCACACCCTCTTTCACTTTGCATCATGTCCTCCGGACACACTCGTGCATTTACTATACCTGCACTTTACTTATTAATTCATGACAGCCGGTATACAGCTTGCTATCTGCAAGCTACACACGGCAATAGTGGGAAAAGACAGGAAAGGAAAAGATTGCGATCTCTTTCTTTTCCTCCTTCTCGTCGGTCTTATCTGGTTGCCTAGGAACCCTCAGCATGCTCTCTGGTTTTCTTGGTCGCGGAAAATATTAGTCTTCAAATCTGCGATGGGAGGAGACCCCCTGCATTCTCGAGACCTACACCCGAGAACCGTTAATAATTAAATAAACCCGCTGAACCATAAATAATAAAAAAGGCAATGTTGCTCTATGCCGTACGTCTGCTATCAACTGATTCTGAAATGACAATTCTGGTCAACGGTTCCTCTATAA